CCCTGAGAAGTCATACTGCTCAAACAAAACAGATTTAAAAACTGTATGGCTTTTAATAAAGTAATGCAACATTCAATTCAGACCAGGCCCTGGTTATAATTGCTACAATCACGATACTGACCATTTCTATTAGCAGTAAACTCATAGGATTTTCTCCTAAAGCACCCTCACAGAAAAACTTACTTGGGATCAAGAGGGATGAAAAGGCTGGCAAGCTACAGTCAAACTTTAAGGTAAAGCATCAGTTGTACTATTAAGGCACAGTATATTATTTTATCTACAAAACTTACTGCTATTGATCTGGAACAGAATGACAGCATTGATACTTATTGCAGAATTTCAGAAATTATGTACTATAAAGGCATATATGTATGCAATGTCAGGCATCAGCAAGCATGAAGATCACTTAGTCAAATCTAAAGCTACTACTGTTTGTATAATTAAAATACAAAACATATTCATCAGTAAGATGTAAGATACCACACAGAACGCATCAGTCCAAAAATACCTTTACCATCTTTAAGATGACATTAAGTATTAAGATGAAGAAGACTGAAAACACAGCAGTGACACCAATGACAAAGGAGACTGAACAGCTGCTTCAGCAATATTGCTTCATTGATTGTTTCTCAGCAGTAGAAACTGTTAAAGGTGAAAAAATCAGCTAAAATAAGCCTTGTGTGTCTGGGTTCATTATAGTACTCTCAGTGGCTGAAACACAAAATTATGCTTTCTTCAAGACATTTTTTGCACTTTTCATAGTATTTCATTCTCATGGCTCCTCATTTAGTTCATATGTTTTCCCCATGGGCTTCAGAGAAACCCTTAAAGAAACCCCAACCAACATCATCTAAAACAAAATACATAAGAAGTATTTTAGGGAACAAATTGCAGCAGCATTCCTCTCATGCATCAATGTCTCAAATATTCTGGATTCTCCTTTGAAGAATCCACATCTAACTTAACTATAGAGCTCCAAAGTGAAAAAGACAGTATGATTATGAGAACCGGAAGACAATGAGAACTGGAGAAATTAATTTTTAGCAAAAGACCATGTTTTTTTTGTTTTTTGTTTGATTTTTTAAATCACATTAGTGAATCAGAAACCGGAACCTACTGAATATGTGAACAGCACAACAGTCCCTAAATATCTTTTGCTGTGATTTATTCATACTCGGTCATGAATGCATATTGTAAGTGTCCAACTGCTACATATATTGCCACGGTTCAGAATTTCAGATATGCTCCCGATCCATTCACATAGATCGGGTACATTTGCAATCAGCTGTCTGCTGTTGCAGCAAATTTATAATTTAATTAATTTTCCACTGTGCATTTATTTTTCTTTGGAATTACCTACCACAAAAATGTCTTTTAGGGAAATACTTCTAGGAAAATCGATTACTCTCTGATTAACTGATGTTGAAATACTTATTCATGGTTAATGTCTCACCTGCTAGAGTTGTAAAGAGAAACAAAGGCAAATTAAAAAGAAATTAAGACCTCAGATGTGCAGGTTTTTTCCCAAAATGCCTCACCTTCTGTCAGCAGTACAACATGACAATATCACTTTTCTTACAAGACAGTAAAACAGTACTTGTTTAGACAACTTTCACAGTATCTGGCCACATCTCCTGAGCAATTTTAAAAGGCAAGGGATAACAATACTATTTTTTTAAACTGGGCTTTACAAATACCTTACATTCAGCTTTATTCCAATTCATCCATATGTATGTAGGACAGTGATTTTGGAAAAATGCATCCTGTTAGCTCTACTTTCTCAGGGCAGATCTTAGGCACCACAGGTCAGAAGAATCCTGTCAATTTTCAAGAAAGCTAAAGAAATAGAAGGGAAAGCTGAAAAGGCAGAAGAGAAAAGTCTTTGGTATTATTTTAACAGACTTGTCAACTACAATCACACCAGCAATTGTCTTTGCATCAAAAAAGGGCTCTGAGAGTCAGTAACATCTTACAGCAACTTGCCACCTCTTTCCTTGTTCCCAAATGAGTTCAAAATGCTGACTCCCCCAAAATTATTTATCTTGTAGGCAGAAAGCAGAGGAATGGGAACTCTTGAGAGGGAAGGGAGGTACTGAAAACACAGAGGAAAGCAGGACAAAGGAAGACACAGAAAGCCCTTATTCACAGGGAAGGAATGAGGACATAAAACTGTTTCTCTTATTGCTACCAGCAGTGAGAAGCTGAGCACTGCTCTCCTCCCTGGAGGAGAGGCTGGATGGTGTGAACGGTCAGCCAACAAGAGGAGCTGTGTGTGCTTGTGCCTGGGCACAAACACACGAACACACACCTGCGTGTAGGAAGTGAGGACAGTTAGGGGCAGCGGGGCAGCCATCCTCACCCTCCCACTGTAAGCTTTAATAAATAGCTCTGAGGCAAACAGCAGCTTCACCAGGGGCTCTTTCTATGTGGAGAGATTCTTTCCTTTTCATCTTGTAACAAGCTAGTTTAAGATGCTGAGGGTAAAATTCCTAGAAACTGTTTTTTTGCCTGATTTATTTTCCTTCAGATTTGCAGAAATCTTACATTAGCTAGGAGCTGCCATCCTGTGTTCAACACGTCCCCTGCATTGCAACCACCACTTCTCTTTTACTGGGGAGCCCTCCAATGAGTACTCAACATCTAACAGAGTAGAACCTTCTGGAAAGACAAATTTTGATGAATAATAATTCTGTTCTCCAACACACTCAAATAATGAACCATTGCATTTTCATGTAATTATTATTGAAACAGCAATGTCTACATCATAAGCAAAATAAAACACCAAGTTTCTTGCCTAGTTGCCAACTAAACAGTCACCTGCAGCGCAGTCAGGTTCTGCAGATGCAACAACACAACACTGCAACAGCAGTTAATAAGTCATTGTCCTACTGTCTTATAGAACACCACAAGCAATCTTCACAGCTACAAGCTAGAACACGAAAAAGGATCATGGCAATTACTGGCTTCCTTTCAGTCTTTGCCAGCTGTACTTCTGATCCTAACTTACCAGCCCAGCACAATCAAGACTGTCTTAGAAGATGTGGAGGAATGATGCTTTAATTAAATAAGTAATAAAAATAACTGTAACATCCTTACACAGCAATGCTGCATCCATTCCCAGGGATTTACAATCGTAAAAGCAAATGACACACTACTACTACTTGCCTGACATGTGGGTACATCATCATGCAAACATTTCCCAGAATGCTTAATAAAAACAGACTATTAACTAAAAAAAAGATAAAGTGGGCAATTTCCTCCATACTGATTAAACCCACTGCATGACTCAGAAGGAGAAATCCTGTGAAGAAAGCAGTGTTGTGATTAAAGCTGAGGTGGCTGCAACTAGCATATGGAATGAAAAACTGAGCAATGGTCCCATGAAACCGTGTCTGAGATAAAACCATCTCATTAACAACCATCTTAACAGTCTGCCTATACCCTGACCTAACAATGCATGAACATGGATAGAATACTCAAGAAGATCCCAGAGATTAATTTAGTTTATATTTTTGTAGTATGTTTAGAAAAAATAAAATGTAAGGTCACAGATATTTCCCAGTTAGCCAGTCTTTGTGCACAGCATAAATTTAGGTCTCTATGAATTACCATAAGAGGCATAAGGTTTCTGTCACCAAAGCAAACCATTGAAAACAACAGGGCCCCTTGCACATATGAGCTTGAGCAGTCAGAATACACTGCAGGATTGGGACCAAGGAGACATCTTCATTAAGGGATCAGTAATGGTGCCTAAAAATGCTTCCCTCAGAAAGCCAAACCTTGTTATTAACATGTATAATATTTTCTTCTGGATGAGGTCAGCTGGAGCTCTGTAATTGTGCTCATTTATTCCTACTAATACATCTCGCATTAGGACACACACATTCGCAGGGACTCGCCTGCTTAGTTCTGGCTTGGTGTAAACTTACTATGATGGTGCAACTCTGCTGCTCTGCCACCAGGTACTGGCAGCGTGTGCACTTGTCTGGACACGACACTGCCAGCCCATGCTGCTTTACTTGATGTTGCTCCAGCGCACCCACAACTTCTGAATTATGGGATCCAATCTCACCAGTGTGTCACTGGGTGACTTTGGAGTGACACCTAAACTACCAAAAAAGTGCACCAGTAACCTGTGCCACCGACTTCCTGCCTTTCCCTGAAGGGCCCTAAAAACTAAAATACACACATACATACACGCAGACACACACATCCCTTTCTCAAAAACTGGTCCGAGAAGCACGACGGGTATCAAGAACTCGTGTCAGCGATGTGAAGGCACCCAGGTGAGCTTTGAACCGCCGCTCCCAGAGGCAGCTCGCGGAAAGTCAGGAAGCTCCCGTGCCAGCGGGGAGAGGCTGCAGGTGCCCGGGCCAGGGCAGCCAGAGGCGGCCCGCCTCCCGCTACCCGTCCCGCACGGAGCCGACCGGGGCCCCCCGACGGGCGGTGCCCGCCCGGCCCGGCCCCGCCCCGCTCCTCGGGGCGCGGAGGGAGTGCGGCCGCCCCGCGGTGCCGGACGTGTGCGCGGAGCGCGGCCAGGCGCCGCGGAGCCCCTCCCGCTGGCCAGAGAGAGCCGCGTCCCGCCGGGAGCGGGGCTCGGCAGGACCGCCGCGCGGGCGGGAGGGGAGCGGGGAAGGAGGGAGCGAGGGAAGGAGGCAGCCTGGCGGCCGCGGGCGCCTCACCGGGTCGCGCCCTGGGTCCCCGCCGCGCTCCCCGCGGGGAAGGCGCCCGGGTGCCGTCCCGCTCCGCCGCTGCCCCGGCGATCCCCGGGCGGCTCTCGCCGGCGCCACAGTCCCGTCCGTGCCGCCACCTCCGCGCTGTACCCCGTGCCCCGTCCCGCCGCGGCTGTTCCCCGGCCTGTCCCTAAGGCTACAGCCCTGGCCCAGGAGAAGCAGCCGCCCGGCCGCCGCTCGTGCAATGAATGGAAGCGCAGCCAGCGGTTCAGGTCTTCCCTCCCGTCCTCCCAATCCCGCACAACTTCAGTGGTGCCGCTGCCTCACCGCTCTCGGGCAGAGGCGGCTCCTCCGCGCTGGGGCTCCGCTCTCGCCGCCGCCTCCGGCCCGCGCCCCGCCGGGCTCACCCTCCTCCGCTCCCGCCGCGACCATGCACCGAGGGAGGAGGAATGGGATCCCGGCGAGGGCCGACCCGGCCGCCCCCAGCCGGAGGGAGGGAGCCGCGGCGAGGGGCGGGGAGGGACGGGACGCGGGCGCCCTGCCCTGCCCAGGACCGGCCCCCTCAGGCTGACGTCCCCCGGTCCCACACCGCCGGCCGCGGGGGAGCGCCCAGAGCGGGGCCGGGCGGGAGCCGAGCCGGGGCGTGGAGGCACTGCGGCCATGGGCGGGCTGGCGTGCCCCGGTCGCTATCGCAGCCGGAGACAGAGGCTCTGGAAATAGCCCAAATAACCGCTGCCCGCCATTCTGGCGTTTGAATAACCAAGGTCCAGAGGTTCTGCATCTGCCCCGTCCGACATACAGCCTGAGAACGGACCGGGCAGCACAACTGGCAGTGTCAGGCCCGGTACTGCCTATTGCACGTCGCATCACAGTCTGCCTCACCGGACCTAGCCATAGTGGATGCACTGAATGGAAAGCAGGAGTGGTAAACAGCAACTCCTCCTATCCAAAAATTCCTCTTGGTGTAGACCTTCAGAAATACAATTCATATTGCAAGAGAATGTCTAAAAAGTCTACAATGCTTCTGTTTTCAAACTTTTCCCCCTCAGAACAAATAATTTCCCACCGATACCCCTTTAAAACCATATTTAACACTCTTCCAGTTTCAAAGCAATACTCTGATGACCCAGGCTTTTCCAGAACTTTGTAATTTTTAAAGTATCTTGAGATGTCTAATGCCAAGCACATGCGGGTCTACAAGCTGTGACACTTATTTAAAGCATCTGCAGGGAAAATTAAGGTTTAGGCTTGGACATGTCTCTGCTTGCCTCTGCTATCCCACACTGTTGCACCCTTGTGTAATATGCTGCTCGTTATAAGTGGATGACAGGTGTCTAACTTCATATAGCTCATCTCAGTGTCAGCTTCACTTGCTAGATTGGAACTGGCTGTTGCAACAGATAAAACGAGCCACTAAGTTGGTCAATAAAATAAATCACTTTGGGTATCTCAGAGACACAAATGAAGTGCTACACCAGCACAAAATTTGATTTGCTGCAGCTTAAGCTGTCCTTCTGAAAAAAAGTAAGGTGTTGTCTTTTCACTGCTATCAGAACAGTATATTTCACAAACACTGGATCTACTTGAAGCTATGGCTTTTGACTAAATTATCTTTTTACTGCCATGATACAGAGCAATCAGTGCAGGCTGATCCTGTTGACTGCTTGGGACTCCAAAGTCTTCAACTCTGCAAGAGCACATTCCATCTGACTGGATTCCGTTGCTGGATCTGTGCTTTTTTAATTGGTGTCTGCTGCTCAGAAAACCAAAAGCCAGAAAATGATCTCCCAGGTACATAGGCTGAGGAAGAAAAAATAAATACAAAACTCCAAGAGTTATGTTCCTATGCCAAAAACAAGAAAAAGAGAAGCAACTCTCTTCATTTACTGAAAACAGAGCGTATGCTTTCATGTCTGATTATTGTCCAAACTTCTGTCCTTACATTACTTTTCCTCTTTCTAGACAAGTCATCAAATGAAACATTCTAAAAAAAGTTTTATTAGAGACATTTTTGAATGTTCCCATTAGAGAGTCTGAAAATCCATTTTCTGCAAAATAAGGGTGTCTTTGTAAAGCTGAACTTTCCGTGACCTTTGAGAGCAGCTACTTTAACATACAATGGGAGACAACTCAATAGGTCTGTCCAAAAATAAACATCTCTTTAAAGAATATTTTAACCCTCGATACTTCACACAAGTAGCGTACTGACAACATTATTCAATAACACAAACTTAACATATTAGTCATATTAGTTTTCAGAAAGCTATGAGGCCTTTTGCATTCCAGTTTTGGAGGGCACTTTGAGCGAATAGCCACAATACATAGGTCTGCTGCTTTTAAAACAGTTTTTTTTCTGAAATAGATACATGCTCTATGCTGTTTCAAAAAGATAGAACCATGATACTACAACAAAAATGTGAAACTAAAAAGTATAAAGTCTATATTGCAAATATGCACATGGCAAACATCAGTTTTCTCACTATTAACTTTTTAAAAGATATATCTATTAACTCTTAAAAACATAAAGTTAAATGCTAATTGATTTAATAAAGCTTAGCTAGAATTAAGGGAAATAATTATTAAAGCATTCCTACTATCTTCACATATGAAGTCAGCTTTTAAACATAGACACCCACATGTGTCCAAATCACAGTTAACATCACAGGAATTAACAGACTGGATCTAAAGAGTGATGTTGTGACGCTTGCTGCAGTAGTGGATCCAGTGGCAGCAGCAGCATTTTCTTCCTTCTCCATTAATTGTTTAAAAATTGTTTGCTATTTAAAAATACACAATAGGGACAATTACACAGTGCGGCTATCAGTAAATGGTAATGTGCAGGCTTAGCCACTGGATAAATAATTACTAATGGGAAAGATGACCCCTGATAATAAGCAAATAACCTATGGAACACTAATAAAGTTTCTAAGAAACTTGTTACTGACTTACAGCGCTGCATGTAACACAAAGGGCAACCATGTCTTAGAACATTTTCATTTGGGCTAACATTTAATCTGGACCTCATTGAATCCTGTCTGGTCCACAGCACATATTGTTACAGGTACTCTTTAGTATACTACCTGGATGCTAAAAAGAAAACTTGTGTGGCAAGCTCAGTGCATTGGGTTGTGGGGCTGAACAAGTCCGTGACATAGAGACTTGTTCAGCCCCACAACCATGAGCGGGCAGTTTTCACAAGGAGATAGGAAGCAGCACACTGAAATCCCCTGATGCACTCTGAAGGCCAAGGACTGTGACCCTGGCAGATCTAAGCATAGCATAAAATTTTCTTAATTTGAACACTTCTTTATTTGGAATTGGTGTGAGGAACTTGGTATTTCCTTCTATCCAAGTGGGGTTTTAATGCTAACTAATTATTATATTGTCTTTGATGTGCAGCTCTAAACATTTTTATTTAGCTTATCTTAAGCCCAACTGCACAAACAAATAACTCATCACCAGAACTTAGCACTTATGCATTATCCAAACAGGAAACAGAGACGTCAAAGAAGCACACTTTGGATTAAGTAATATATGAGATGAAAAAGATGATGTAATATTTTTTACTCCTGCTCACAGATCTTTCCAAGTATTAACTTCATAGGCATTAATTTGTTTAGTCAGTTTTCCTCCCTAAATTTTTCTTTACTTATAACCCCAATAGTAATAAGTGATCTCATTTTGCTTGATCGATTTACATTTTCCATGGACTGTTAGAATGAAGGATTATTTTACCCTGAAATTTCCCGAAGTTCACCTGAACAAATACAGCCTTGGATGTGGCCCAGAAATCATTCTCTGAAGGTTGTAAGAATAGAATATAGACAGGGCAGACAAAACAGGATAGCAGAAAGTACAACCAAAGAGACTATGACATCCAAATAACTAGCAAATAACATACAAGTTGGAAAGAAGAACAGAAATTATTTGGCTCAAAATTATGTTCTCACTTAGCCTTTGAATAGTCACTGGAAACTATTAAATTATTGGATAAGACACAAAAATTTATATATAGAGCCTACAAAAAGTTAAGAATGAACAAAGTGAATATCATGTGTACATACTGGAATTAGTAGTTAGGCTAAAGAGCAAATCAATCTCAACTTTTTAAGCTTTAGATATATTCATACTAGATTTGTTCCCTCATTGCACTTACTCTTCTGTTGCTTTTTGTTGTTGATATTTGGGTTTTATTTTTTAAGTCGCTGTTGTTCCAAAATCTTCTCAATGTGGAGGAATGGAATAAATGTTAATATTCTATTCAAATGAACGATCTGATTACAGAAACACAAAGGGAAGAATTTTTTGGAGTAAAATAATGTTAAAGAAAAAGCTGCATTTGGAACTTGTTCCAAAACTCCAAGGAAAATAGGAAAAGAGGAGTTAATAGGCAGAAGATGGTGGGAAATATATAAAAGAGAGGACTCAGCTCTGGAAGAGTGAGGAAATTGAGTTGGGACATGGGTGTTATTTTATTGTGGGTTTTTTGTTCTTCTACCCAAAAGAAAAGTAAGATGTAAAACATCAGCTGAAATAAATCTTCAAGAATGTGTCCTTCTCAAGTAACACTTGTTTTGATTTGCAGCTTCAGAAATTTCAGTTTTTCTAAGCACTTAGCTATGATATTTAATTTTTCAGTAGTTCATTGCTTTAGCGTCAACCAGTATGTGGTGTTACAGAGAAGAATTTATCTATCTACTGTATAGCTGTATCAGTAGGGCCAAAAAATATAGGAAGACATTTGAAGAATGGGAAAACCCATCTGTTCATACTGGAGACTTCAGGAGCAAACAAGAAAAGAGAAGAGGCTGCGGTTAAGCTAAAAAGGTAATTCAAAATTATCACTTTATGTTGTAGACAATGAAAAAGGTGGAAGAGCATCCACAGTGGATAACAGCAATACTATATTGAATGTATAGATTTCAGAGGAAAGGAATTTTATAGCTCAGGTAAAAAATAAAGTTAATGTGAGAATTGTAGCCATAGATAAATAAAAATTACTACCCCAAAGTTGTTATGTACACAATCAATGTACAGTATCTAGTCTTACTGGGATGTGATGACATAGGGAAAGATCAGTGCTGAGCAGCAGAAAGCGTGGAGATGTCTGCAGAGAGAAAGGAAATAGGAAGAAGGTTTGGAAGGAAGGACTGGAAGCTGTCTTAAATCATATTGAATCTGAACTGATTACTTAATTCCAATATACCCAGAGACATATCTTGAGATTTTCATCTCTACAGAGATGAAGGAGAAAGAAGTCAAGGGTGACTTAGGAAAGCTAGTCTAATAACCTATTTAGATAGGAAGAATAAGTGAAAGGGATGAAGGACAGGGCTGCTTAAGCCTCCGTGGGAAAGTGATGAATAAAGCACTCTTCCAGACATACAGACCAATGCAAGGCAGCAGCAGGCATTCATCAAAATAAAAACAAATTGAAAAAATAAGGTCAGTTAAAACAGTGTCTCAGAGTCTGAGACCTTTAAAAAGA